GCGACTCCCGTATCTTGTCTATAATAGGTGCTACTCCCACCCTTTGTCTGATTGTCTCATTCCTCACGTGGTCCTTCCTAGTATGCCCACACATCCAACGCAGCATGTGCATCTCCGCCACCGCATTCTTCCACTGCATCCACCCTGTTCTGATTCTATGGGATACATCTCCATCTAACTCACTGTCATTCTATGGGAGCCCAAGTAACGGAACATATCGCTGACTGGAATCTCCTTACCCTCTAGAGTAATTCCGCTGTTACCACTGCTTCTACTCCACCAAACTTGCACTCCATGTACTCTGTCTTGCTCCGACTTAGTCTGAAACCCTTGTTCTCCAATGTTTCTCGCTATACTTCTATCTTTGCTTTAAGACCTGATTGCGTCTCATCAATCAATACAATATCATCGCCAAACATCATGCACCACAATATTTCATCTTGAATTGACTTCGTAAGTTCATCCATGACTATGGCAAATAAGAAAGGGCTCAGAGCCGATCCTCGGTGTACTTCGATAGTAATAGAGAACTCCACAGACCTCCCTACACTAGTACGGACACTTGTAGTACAATCCTCATACATATCCATGATGATGCTGATATACTTGCGAGATATGCCTTTTCTAGTTAAGACCCACCAAAGAACTTCTCGAGGTACCCTATTATAAGCCTTTTCTAAGTCAATAAACACCACATGCAGATCCTTGTGAGCGTCTCTATACTTCTCCATAAGTTGCCGAAGAAGGTGAATAGCCACAGTTGTTGAGCGACCAGGCATAAAACCGAATTGATTCTCTGAAATCTTCACAGTTTTTCGAAGTCTTTGTTCAATCATTTGCTCCCAAAGTTTCATTGTGTGACTCATAAGCTTAATCCCTCGATAGTTGGCACAATCTTGTACATCATCTTTATTCTTGAATAAGGGGATAAGAGTACTCTTCCTCCAACTCGTTGGCATCTTGTTGTTTCTCCAAATCATGTCGAAGAAACTTGTTAACCACTTGACGCCTCTCTCTCCCAAACTTCTCCAAGCCTCGATCGGTATGCCATCTTGACCCACTGCTTTCTTCCGCCCCATCTTCCTCAAAGCCTCTTTCGCTTCTGTTGTTTGGATCCTTCTCACAAAATCACGATTTACCATACAATCTGGTATGGTCAAATCATTGATATCTTGCGCTTTGTTCCTGTTGAATAGTGTATCAAAGTATGACATCCACCTCTCTTTTATCTCTTCGTCCTCCATTAGTACCCTTTGATCGACATCCTTCACACACTTAACTTTTCCGATATCGTGAGTCCTATGGTCACGATGACGAGCAAGTCCGTAAATATCTTTTTCTCCTTCCTTAGAATTCAATTTTGCGTACAATTCTTTGTTCACTTTTCCTCTTGCTTCCTTTACAGTTTTCTTTGCTCTTCTTCTAGCCTCCTTGTAATCCTCCAACTTATGCCCAATTTCTTATAACATTCCCTTTTGATCCTTATTGCTTGTTTTACCTCATCATTCCACCAAGATGAGTCCTTATTTGGTGGTAGACATCCTTTAGATTCTCCAAGTATCTCTTTCGTCACTTAGTTAAAGGTGGACTCCATTGATAACCACACATCATCCACATGTGCATCATTATCAATGGACCAAACATCTTCCTCCAACATATTCTGTGCAAAAGTTTGTTGGAGATTCCCCTCGAGTCTCCACCACTTTATCTTTGGTTCCACTTGTACCTTAACCCTCCTTCTCATTTTACGTTGAAAATCCAGCACAAACATCCTATGTTGAGTGACAACACTCTCACCTGGGATAACCTTACAATCAGTGTAGCTAGTTCTCCAAGTCGTTCGTACTAAAAAGTAGTCAATTTGGGTACTATTAGCTCCACTTCTATAGGTCACAAGGTGAGAGTCTCTTTTCTTGAACCAAGTGTTCATCACAGCCAACTCATATGTCGAGGCAAAATCCAGAATGTTCTTTCCGGCTTCATTTCTAGTGCCAAAGCCATGTCCGCCACGGATACTCTCAAAACCATCACGACTTGGGCCCACATGCCCGTTGAGGTAGCCTCCTATGACCAATTTCTCTCCCCTTGGCACTCGTCGCACCACCTCCTCAAGATCCTCCCAAAATTGTTGAGTGATAGATGCATCCAATCCCACTTGTGATGCATAGGAACTTGCCACTTACACGACCTCATCTCTCATAATCAACTTAATGCTCATGATGTGGTCGTTCTTCCTGAAGACTTCCACCACACCCTCAACATAATCATGTGCCACCATAATGCCTACTCCATTTCTGTTCCTTTCACTCCCCGAATACCACAACTTAAAACCTCCGGGATTAATCTCACGTGCCTTTTCTCCAACCCACTTAGTTTCTTGCATGCACATTATGCTGACATTCCTCCTTTTCATAACCTCAGCTATCTCAGATGATCTTCCCGTAAGAGAGCCAACATTCAATGTCCCAAAACGCAATCTAGCACACTGCCTTCTCTTCTTCACACCACATCGACTCCCACCATGCCCTTGCATATTTGACACCATCCTCGGGCATTGGACTGGCGCGTCGCTTCCGGGCGACGACCTAACAGCCTTAGCATTCTTATCACCACACCCAAGCCTATGAATTGTAGCATGCCTTTGCATATTTGACACCACCCCCAGGCGGAGGGATGACGCGTCACTTACGGGCGACGACCTAGCTGTAGTGATATTCATATTTCGATTCATGTCATGTGATGTGATTAAGTGATACTGTTGGCAGTCACGTGCCTACCACAACACCCTCCTCCTTTATCCTGGCTCGGGACAGGCATGCTACCAAAAAAATGATCTCATGGCGGAGTTACACCAATTAATAGACAAATCTTAAGAAAAAACATACTCCCTTTGTCCCAGAATTAACTTCGGTTTTGACTGGGCACGGAGATTAAGAAAGTGGGAAATGTGTGATGGAGAGTTGTGCAGAGGAGCGAGAAATGTGTAAGAATGGTTGTGAAACACAAATCCTTTGCTAAAAAGGGAAAGAGGAGATAAATTTGGAACGGACCAAAAAGGAAAGAATGAAGATAATTATGGGACGGAGGGAGTATTACCTAACACGTTGAGATTTTAAATAAGCACAACATTATTGTTTAATTGCAGTAGTGCCCCAAATAAGTTTAATATCATTCTGAACATTTCATCACTCTCGTCCTCGCTGTTGTCGATGCCCTCACCCTACCTCACTTCTTCTTTTTCTTCTCTTTATGTTTGGTAGTGGGAAAGCCTTTTTAGATCTACGAGGATGTTGCAGGGGCTGGGGATGGAACTGCGAGGTGGGTTATTGGGAGGGTGGGGTAGGCATGGGGCAGTATGTAGGGTTGGGTCTAAAAAACCGAAAACCGAAAACCAAATCAAATTAAAACCGAACCGCGACCAAATAAAACTGAACTGCTAAAAACCGAAACCGAATGTAAAAACCGAACCGAACCGTAGTAGTTTGATTCGGTTTTGGTTTTTACCCTTCAAAACCGAACCGAACAAACTGAGCAAAAATAAATGTGAAAATTTATTTGTTAAATGTAAGCATTAATCTTAATATCATCAATAATCTTTGAATTTCTTGTGTTAGAGAAATAATGTTTGTGCTATGTTTAGTTTAGTTTAGTTTATAAATACATTTACACATTCAATGCCCATAATAATGTAGCTATATTGATCTATTATGTCTTTTATGTATGTATGTTGCAATTTGTTGCATGATTATATGTTTTTACTGGTTATTAGTAGTAATTAAATTTTACTTTTATGTAACTTAATTTTTTTAACTTAAATTTTTTATATTGATAAAACAAATAAATATTCATCTCAGCTATATCACATAGGACGTATGTATTCATAAACTTTTTTCAAACTAGTCACAATCAATATAAATTAAGAAGAGATACACACTTTTATCTCTGCCGCATACTCATATAATTCAAGACATATTTGTTTATTATTATTTTCTTTATTTGTTCAAGTATGCTTGCATTTTTATGTATTATGTTCGATCCCTACAACTTTTATATCAATTTTAAATCAAATGACAAATGTTTAGTAAAAACCCGAAAAAACCGAAACCGAACCGAAACAAACCGAACCAATCAAACCGTGGTTCCATGTTTTGGAGTGTAAAACCGAACTGAAACCGAACCGAACTTTTACTTTGGTTCCGTATTTGGTTTTAGGTCAAAACCGAACCGAAAGAACTGAACCCACCCCTAGCAGTATGTGGTGTCATATAGGGCAAGGCTCAACGCTAGCGGGGGTGGCGGCAATAGGCGGTGACGGCAATAGGAAATTAGGTCACCGGGCAAGGTTGTGGAGATTGTAATTGATCTTCGGATTGTCATTGGCAAGAGGCGTCCGTCACTATGGCTGGGGTCAGATGTGTTCTCAACCGTGATGGTTATTGTGGTAACTATGACCGTTAGTGGTGGTCATTGGTCGGCGGTGGTCACTGTGGCCGTCGATGGTGGTCACTTGCGGGTGGGGATGATCACTGGCAGCATTGGGTCACTGACGGCTTATGATCATTGGGTGGAGTATGTGTCACTATCGGTGAAGTGAGTGTTATGTATTGTATACTCCCTTCGTATTTTCACGTAGTTTAATATAGTTGTTGTAGAGTTTATAAAAAGTAAGAGATTTTGGTACTATAGCCGCTTTTAGGATGAATTTCTTTTCAAAATGACAAATGACACAATTAATTTGATACATCTCCAAAAAGAAATTGAGACAATTATTTTGATACGGAGAGAGTATATAATTGGGGTTTTAGCGCAAATATTACTTAAATAGATGTCTTGAAAAATAGATGTCTTGAAAAAATAAGACCAAATTAATTTTTTCCAAAAATGGAATTTATATGACGTTTATTTCCTATCGAGTGACAATGATAGCATACCCTCTCTGCAACAATAATACAATGGTTAATATTTTCTTAAAATATTACTAATAAAAAACATGAGAAAAAGTCGACTTAATAACTATTAATAACTATAATTGTTTTCGAAGTATACATCATAGTGGCTTCAACTAATAATTACTAAATCACATTTTTGCCCCCTAAAACATATTCAGAAGTAATATTGGTGATTTTGTATCTGAGTTTTTCCCGGAGTAATGCTAATTAAATAATTCCCAAAATACTGTTGGGTTAAAAATAATTCCAAAAATACTGCTGAAGTTAACCGCGGTTAAGGAAAGCCTCCACTTGAAGTGGCAGTTCTTCTGTCCAGTACAAAAGCTGCCACTCGAAGTGGCGGCTCTTCTGCCCAGTAAATACCACAACGGCTCATTCAACCTAAAAAAACAAAAACCTGCTCAGTACAGTACATTCAATTCAGAAACATCAAACAACTGCTCTTTATAGTCAATATAGGTCTCTAAAAAACAAAACATATCTGAGACACAAAATGAATCAATGGAACTATATTGGATCACAATACTAGAAATATCACATAAAGATGATAATAATTAAATCTAGTGCTTCAGAAAATAATTCGATCAGCTACGTTGTCTACATACCGCTAAAATATGTGAGCAAGGAATCTTATAAATATTCAGCTTCTGACATGAGCAATGGAGATGGTGCAAATTCACCGTTTGTTTTGTACCACCCTTCCCCATTGTTCGTCCACCACGACCCGTCTGCACTTGGTATAAACCACGACCGATGTCAAATGTTGTGACCTTGTGATGTTTTGCCTTTTCCGTATTTTACTCAATCAGTTCAGTCACTTGCTGGCAGTAACGATGTCCTGCTAACCTTCTCATACTAGTTTCTCTTCTTTCTACAAAATAGACATTCACACGATAGAATGATAACTCAACTAAGGCGGTTATAGGAAGGTATCACGCACTTTTCATGACGATATTCAAAACTTCAGCCATGTTCGTTGTTGTGTTGCCATACATGTACCCCTCCCCCATTGTGGTGTAAAGACCACTTCTCCAAACCAATATTCCTTAGATATTCTCGTGCATGTGCCTGCATTTCGCCCATCCTGTTAAATCCACCATCAAATTTCTTCTTTTGATGTTGACTTACTGTCAAAACGAACAAATTCTTCAAGTGAATGTCTTTTAATTGAGTATGCACATTAGAAGCGACATGCCGTATGCAAAGCCTATGTCGTGCATCTGTCTCCTCTCATCCACTACCTACTTCATTAAGTGCCTTCACAATTCGAGCATGTCGATCTCAATTAACACACAATTCTCTGTGTGTGTGATAAAATGACGTATGAACGTCATAAACCACGGCCAACTCTCTCCATTCTCTGCTTCAGAAATAGCAAACGCCAAAGGGTATAGTTGATTATTGGCATCACTACCCATTGCCACCATCAACGTACATTTATACTTCCCATATAAGTGTGTTCCATCAATGGTCAGTAAGGGAGGACAATGTTTAAAGCCCTTAATGGATGTCTTAAACGCCCAAAAAACTTTCTGAAACTCCACACAATCAGTGGTACCTGAAGGACGGAGAAAATTAGGGGGGGGGGGGGAATTAAAATGGAATGTAGTATGATACAATAAAGATAGTAATAACTCGTGGGTACCTGAAAGAGGTGGGTACCAATGCATGACTGTCCCTTCGATGGTCCTAAGAAAGCTTTATAAAAATGAACAGTCATTTATGTTGGCACGTACTGTACAAAAAGGATCATAGCTTTCTGAAAAGTTCTTTATAGACTATATTATCAATGGTGTTAATATCACGTCTCTCTTAATCACATATAAGAATCTTCAACTCACTCATTGAGGTGATCAAGACTCTTTGAGATGACGCTTGGCATGACGGCCTACAATTGACTATGCACAAAAACAAATTTTGGTAGATATATGTTGTTTAATGTAGATATTGTAATTGGCTTATATGTCTTATTCTGGCAAATGAAATGATGATTTGGAATTGAATACATTGAATTTTGAAAGAAATTATGATATCCATTGAAACGAATTATAACTTCTTGATAAAAAATATACTAGTATAATTTTGGAAGCAAGATGTGTTTTAAATTGTTTTTTCACTTCTTCCAAAACGATAAAAAAAGGCTCCATTCTCAACATACTTTAAACTTTCCTTATTTATTAACTGTACAAAAAACTTTGTCATTTTTATTTATAGTAATAAAAATGAAAATAGAAACATTTAGATTTAGATTTTATTTGATTCCATACGTATGACATATTTAGTACATACAGTGCATTTTTAATGGAACTTCAATTACCTTTTTACCCATATTTTGAGTGGTAATTTTACCTCCAAAAGTTGTAGCCCGACTATTACTTTATATTATATAAAGATAAGTATTTCATAACATCAAATACAAAGAAAATATTCCAAAAAAAAACAGCAAATTTGAACAAAAAATAAAACTAGTTTTAGCAAAAATGGTGAAATCCCTCGATTCAGACGGTTGAAAGTCGGTAGGATGGAGCACAAACGACCTCGGGTACACCGTGTCTCTTTTCCCTTTGATTTGATCTTCGTTTGGACGATATCCGGCTGGAACTCGAATTGGGGTAACCATTTTCTCACAGCAGTCGCAGAGGGTTTTGTTTCGTCGTTCGTCGTCTAGGATAAAGAAGGGGGATATTTCGTTAATTAATGAGCCGCCACTCGAAGTGACGGCTTTTCTACCGTAAAGAACTGTCACTTCGAGTGGCGCTTTTCTACTGTAAAGAACTGTCACTTCGCGTGGCGGCTTTTGTATTGGACAGAAGAACCACCACTTCAAGTAGCGACTTTCCTTAACCACCATTAACTCCAGCGACATTTTAAAAAATATTTTTAAACCATTAATATTTTGGAAATTATTTATTGAATTAGCATGGTTGTAGGGAAACTCTTATTTTCAACTAGGGCTGCACAAGAATAACTTGAACCCGCATAACCCGTCCGACCCAACCCTACCCGACCCTATTTAATAGGGTATTTGATTTTTTAAAATATTCATGGGTTAAATATGTTTGAACCCGCACCTATTGGGTAGGGTTGCAGGATTAAAATCTTAAACCCGATAGTACCCGACCCGGCCGATGTTCATTTTACAATTATTATGCTACGACGTTTTCTTGGATAATTTCAATTTTTATTGGATAATTTCAATTTAAGACCAATGTGCTCTATCTAGGACTTTATGATATTAGAATTATAATTAAATATTTATCATTTTGACTATGTGATTATTATATAGTTACGTTTCCTTCTAAATGAACTTCCTTTACAGAAGGATGTTTTAATACTATTACCTAATGTTTTTGCTTATAAAAGATACGAGTACTTGTATTTGTTTGTATGTCTTGGAAACAAGTTAATCGAGTTTTAAATTGGTTACATTAATTTCCCACATGAAAGATGCAACTCGAAATGATTTTTTACCCCAATACTCGACCCTACCCGACCCGTTCATGCATGGTTTACCAACTTATTTTGCATACCACGAGTTGGTTAATATCCAACCTGAACAAATCGGGTAAGCCCAAAAAATATAGCAAACCCAACCCGCCCGATGTGGAGTCCTATTTTCAACTAGCAACATCTACTGTAAAAAAAAAACCAGCAACATTTACACCTACTAGGTTTCATCATCTTGCCGATTCAGTGCTTCCCAGATTCTCCGGCGGTGTCCGTAGGTGATTCGAAACAGAGCCTGAGTATAGTATGCAGGGTTACTCTGTAAGCGTAAGTTCACGCAAAGCTCCCAACTTTTTCCAAATTTCTCAGCACCCAAGGATTCCAATACACTCTTATCTTCTATCTTTCATCGCTTCCAAATTGAGCCCATCCCGCATTAGGGTTCCTCCTACTCGTGTTTCTGTCACTCCTTATCGCCGAGATTTAGCTATACTCAAGGTAATTTTTACTATCCACACTGGCAGAACAGTTCTTTATAATACGAATTCCAAATCCCTGAAATTGATTGTCTTCAGATTGGGTCTTTCAGTTAGCAACTTATGAATTGGAGTAAATAATTTATGTATTGGGGTTAAATCTCCTTACACCCAAATTGAATTTTCTTTATGCTTTAAAATTATGCCATAATTAGTATGTTGTTATTATAGAAGGCGGAGATTGAGAACTATTGTGGTTCACTTTGGGTGTTAGGTACATGCAACTGCTGCAGAGACTGAACAGCCAAAATGGTGGGAGAAGAGTGCCCCAAATATGGTTGACATCCACTCAGCAGAAGAATTTCTAGATTCTTTAAGTAAAGCTGGAGATAGATTAGTTATTGTTGACTTTTATGGTACATGGTGTGCTTCTTGTCGAGCATTGTTTCCCAAGGTGAGTTCTTTCCTTGCCTCTCACTCATCCTGACATGGATTGTATGCAAACATTATACTGTACATTTAAAAAAACTTTTTGTTTGTAAATAAATGCTTATTAGGATTTTCCTGTAATTGTATTAAAATAGATCTCAGTAATCTCAGACATAAATTTGATTACATTGTCATTACAGTGTTAAAGTCAAACATAATCATGGTCCTTAGAGTCAATAAAAACACTACTAGGGTAAAAACAAAACAAGTAACATGGTCATCAGAGTCACCGCAAAAATGCTACTCCTATGGTAAAAAAAGTCACATTTTGGTCTATTGCTTTTCATTTAGTCATAGCATTGTCATTACTTCATGCTTATTTCCTGTACCCTGTTGATCAGCTTTGCATGATCGCTGAAGAACAACCGGAAATACTTTTCTTAAAGGTGAATTTTGATGAGAACAAGTCATTGTGCAAAAGCTTAAATGTTAAAGTGCTTCCATTTTTTCATCTCTATAGAGGAGCCAATGGCCTTGTGGATTCTTTTTCTTGCTCTCTTGCCAAGGTACTGCACTTTGAGCCATGTGTATTTAATATGTTACTTTTAATGTGAGTGGTCATCCCGCCATTCAGAGCATGTTTGAATACATTTAGAGAAGGGGAAATGAAAACTTCTTATAAGATGCTCTTTTGGTTTGGTAGCAGAACAGCGGATAATATTAAATCAAGATTTCCACCAAAAAGAAAATAATTTGTTAAAATGAATAGAGCACTAATAGTTTTCGCTTGTTCCATTTTATTACTGAATTACAAATAACAATGTATGCAAGAGATGCAGCCATTAGCTCAAGCTAAGGTCACTTGAAATTATTGGTCGACCTGGCCCAAGTTCCGGACTGAGACCAGTCGTTAAATGGTCATGACCAGACCATTTTCAGTCACAAACCAGAACTGGTGCAGTGAACCAGTTCAAATCAAGTCTGTTTTAGTTCTGTTTCCTCCAAATACCGTCCGGATTGACTGGTTCTTGTTTCTGTTTTTCTAATTGGCTAAGAAACGGTGTAGGAACTGAACCAGATGGTTTCCCTACACCGTGAACGGAACCAGGGGGTGCATGGTTGTGGTTCCTCCCTTTCATGACCTGTAATCTTACTTCTTACCTGCTCCACCCTTTCCGCAACCTGGAATCGGACCTGCTACACCCCTATTTCGAATTGGAAGGTGAAACTGTTGTACCATAGCACATAAATAAGAAGGTTGCTTCCATAATTTAATGTACTAAATACACTCTGCAGCTCCAGAAATTAAAGGATGCAATTGCAACATACAGTCCAGAGAATTTGCTAAAAGACATTGATGATGAAAGTCACAACTTTGGTGGAATATCTGCATCTCATAACAACACGTCATCTGGATCTTCTGCTCCGGTGTAGAATTTTGCTGCAAGGACTGTTTGGTGATATGGCATGGATTCCTAACCAGCTTCTGTGAATTGTCTGCATCATCAAATAATCTGTCATCTTGTATTTCCTGAATGTTTAATTATCATCAAATTCCATAGTTTGACAGAAGATGAGTGGCGTCTGGTTTGAATTCTTTGTACATAACTGTTCTCACAGCATTAATGCAAATTTACAGTAAAGTTGGCACTGTAAATTTGATCATTCTTTCGCAATTATTTTCTTTCAAGACCCGACTTCATTTCTTTTCTAGTTTTCTATAGAAATCTGTCTACATTGTTTCATATCCATTTCATAAAAATGGGTTTCCAAACTATGTACCTGGTCCAACAGTTTGGCTCGTTTTCAAACATTTAATTTAACATAAAGTAAAAGATAAACGAGGCATTGGAATGGATATTGAATAATGACTCCATGTGGTATATACCGACAGTAATTATACTGTTTATAAGGAGTCAATAATACAAAGTACTGAACTTAAAATGCAAGTCTTGATTGACTGTGGACATGTCGTTTATTTGTCCCGTATGATGAACCATTTCCTTGCATACCAGTTTCAATAGAATCAGTTTTTTTTATAACATCGATATTTATATTGAACAAACTGGTCAGGTGTATTGAAACTAGTTACATTTTTCATTCATTCATTGCGGCAAAAAAAATCATTTCATTTGAAAACGTTTCAGACTATTTTTGAGCAATTTTTCCTACATTAAAAAAAATAGTGTTTATGTCCAAAATCAATTTCGATTTTTGTTACTCCCGCAAAATGTTATTCTCATTTCTGAAATTGTATATTTAAATGGATGTGTATATGTACGTTGCCTTTTAAACAAAATTCGCAAATGTACCAAAAACCACAATTGGGTAGTAAGTAGTAACCTTACGAAACCCACAACTTGTGGGGATGTAGCTCACTAGGTGGGAAGAGGGTGCTATAAGGATTTGGATTAGGGGTGGACTCGGGCCGGGCGGCCCGGCCTGGAGCCGGCCAGGCCCGGTCACTGTTTGAAACGGCTCGAACCGCCGGCCCGGCCAGGGGCCGGTCCGGGTAGGCCCGACCCGGGCCCGAACCGGCCCAAGTCCACCCCTAATTTGGATTAACCTCACTCTATTTCCACCTGTGTATGATCATTGCCCAATTTATATATTACCATATAACTGTCCATGCGATTCTAGGGGGGCTCAGACAGGGGTAGAGCCAAGGGGAGGTCGGTTCTGAAAAATTGAGAATATAGAGCACTAAAATACATTCGGTTTTGAAAACCTCACGCCAAACAAGGATTTGGATTGGAACCTCGCTCTATTTCCACCTGTGTATGATCATTGCCCAATTTATATATTACCATATAACTGTCCATGCGATTCTAGGGGAGGCTCAGGCAGGGGCAGAGCCAAGGGGAGGTCGGTTCTGAAAGATTAAGAATATAGAGCACTAAAATACATTCGATTCAATATATTATAGCTCTCGTAACTCATTACAAGTAAAAAGCTACAACTTCTAGAAAATAAACATCATGTAAAATTAGTAAAAAGCTACAACTTCTAGAAAATAAACATTATGTAAAATTTGATGCGTAATACTCTCTCCGCCCCGCCCGAGAGACGTAGGGATGATCGGGACATGGTTAGCGTGGAGAGGCTAAACGCTCCATTCGATGGCATGGATTTGGGTCATACGTCAGGTACGCCACTGAAAGAGGGTATCAAACGAGCGACGGTCCGACCTCCGCCTGAACCACCACCATGGGTTGTACGAGGTGCTAGAGTCCGTAAAAGTTTTCCTAGTAATTTTTTTTTCTGTTTGTCATTTGTTTTCTTGTGTTCATCTTTGTTGTTGGTTTTGACAATTTGTTTGAATTTTAGCCTCTCTTTATGTCATTGGGTATGGTTGGATCTATGAGAACAGGTTTGGCTGTGTCAAGTCCACTACATGGTTAGCGATTCGTGTTGCTCTTTCAGGGGTGACCGTCTCAAAGTCTCGCCATAGGGTTACAGTCGTAGTTGTTGAGTTTCAGTTGGTGTCAGTTTTATTTTCCCTTTGCTTGATGTAATGATCCTGAATATTTTGATATGAATAGAGACATGTTTTGATGATAAAAAAAATACTCTCTCCGCCCCTTAAAACTTTGTCAACTTTCCTTTTTTAATTGTCCACTAACTTTGTTATTTTCCCTTTTCTGTAAAGAATTTGTAGTTCTAATTACTTCTCTTTCTTTTGCGCAAACCTCAACCACACAATTTTTACTATTAATCCCCGTACCGATCAAATTTGGTCTATTTTAAGGGAGTGAGAGTATTGATTATATTCTCAAATTTTGAAAATTATTTCTAAATCATTCATTACTTGGTGAAGTTTATAATATATACTACGTAGTACATATTATGTAGTATGTATATATCAAATCTATAACTCTATTAGTCTCATTAAACTACCCATGGTTGTCGATGATGCAGATTGGCGCGTGCGCCATGCGTCATGTGGCGTGCAAAATCACCCATGCGCCATGAAAATAGCTCGTGACGATGAATATACAAGTGGCGACGCCATTCTCTCGCCTTCGCCATCGCCATGGCGCTGCACCGTGTTATTTATCAAAACATAACCTTTTTGCGCATGAAGCACCAAAACGATGATGCGAAAATAGCGATCTTTTTAATCGCCTGAGGTGGGAAAGGGCTTTTAGCGTCTTTTTTTAATTTATGTTTGAGCCTATTTTGAATAATAAGCCCATATTTATTGTTTAGCCCATCCAAATAATAGGTTAAAACAACTTAAACCCATGTTAAACCATTTTAAGTCACAATAAGTCTTCTTTCGTGACTTCTTCGTTGAAACTGCATTCAACGATCAACCCACAGAAGCCAACAACTCATAAGGTGTCTTCTTCATCATCATCTTCCCATGTTCTTTCCTTTTCGGATTGTAGTTTTCATTTTGTCATCTTCATGTTGATCCTTTCTTTTTATTCTTTCGGTCTATCTTCTTTCTTTACTTTTATCACTTCTAGTCATTTGCGTAATTTATAGTTTTCTTTGCTTCTTATACATTCTATACTTTATAGTTCTCTTTGTTTCACTTATTACACAGTCTATAACACTATATCTTCTTATTATCATTTCATATTTTAATTATATAAAACTTCATTCTGAGTATAATCTAACTCAATTAATAGTTTCATACTAAATATAATTTAAACTATTTTAACTTCACATGATTTAGTTAGAATGTTGTTATTCAACTTTTTTTTATCATATTTTGGTGATTGAGTGTTGCAATTATAGTCTATACTTGGTTTTTTTAGTTTTTTTCTTGTCATGTGACGTCGCCATATTTGTGCCATCAGTCATCACCATAGAAAAATGCAGGTGCGCCATGCGCCATGACAGCTATGAAACTACCATTTATATAAGATAACACGGGTCTATTGCCCCCTGCCCCCTTGACAACTCGGCTGTTATAAAATAGGATGGAAGCATTTAAAAAAACCAGACCATTACTTGTACATTTCCTTCATCAACTCTTGGCATGTTTCATCAAAATCAACAAAAGCTCAACATTCATGGATGTGTTAAACACTACAACTAGGGTAGTGATTCAGTTCCCGGTTTCCTTGATAACAAACAATATGTATTTCCGCCTTCATCGTTGGCAAGGAAAGGCCCTATTTGCTGTGGAATTATACAAAACAATACCACCACCACCATCAATTCTGTACAGAAGCAAAACTTCCTGCTCGATTCATATCCTCCCATCATCAGCTAGGGAGCCTCCTTTCGTATGCGAGCTTTAGTATTGAACCCTACCATCACCTCATTCTCCAATGACCTCCCACTACATCTTTGATATTTTGGCGATGTGCCAGACAAAAATCTGCTGCTCCGGCTGCCCACATCATGCCCCAGGGTTGACATGTGACCCGTTTCCATTATAAGGTCCCCTTCAAGAATCCGAAGCACCTGAGAGTATACAAATCACACATTAGAACCCCTGCTTGGCTTTTTAGGTTGCGGTGCGAAATGAGAAGTGGACTGACTTACCTGAGACATTCTTGGCCTTGAGTGGGGGTCCCTGCGTATGCACAAGGATGCAGCATGCAACATACAATGAACTTCTTGTTTGTCATAACAGTTCTGTATCCTTGGATCTATTAATTCTTCAATCCCATATTCTTCCAACAACGGGCGTGCCTGTATGTTACAAGTTAAAGACAGAGAAGGGTAAGTAAACAAAAAGGAAACCCTATATATTCTGTCAGTTCATGGAATGTATTTGGGGCTAAGCATGTCTACATCATTCTGAAGGTTTTAGAAAATATAGTGACTTTAACCAATAAGTATACCACAAAAGGAACATGAAGATGATAGGATATAATGCTAATAGTCAGAATTGAGCTTTTGTAGAACGAGAATCCCCCCTTCGCCACGAAGATTACTTTTGACAGTGTGTTTGAGTGTCCAACCCCAGAGATTGGTAATTTGTCCACTTTGAGTATACTCAGGGCCAACAACATCAGGCACATGCACATTAAGTATGAGGATCACAACTTTTAAGAATCTTTTTGGAGTCGGTCTCAATATAATATAGTATCAGAGTTTGGTCAAATTAGGTTATTTGGAACTCATGGTTTCATGTATGTTTAGCCTATTTATCCACCTCTCAAAGCCACCCATCCCAATTTGGCTTGTAAAGGCGTGTTAAGCGTCCAACATCATATGCTTACCATATTTATATTAATTAAGTTCAATTTAATAAATTGTTTTAAAGAGTCATTTGCGGAAGCCTGATCATGTGGCTTAAATTTAATTTTTAGAAACCTCTAGTTCATTTGGTGATTTGACCAAAACTAGTACAGGTAGATGTAATTGCCCAATGTGTTTTTGTAATGTGTGTCCTGGAAACGAACCCATTCGACAAGGCACTGCTGCCCCTTGGGTCTGTTGAGATCCACTGCTTTTCGGCCAGTTACAAGCTCTACAAGTACCACTCCAAATGAGTAGACATCAGCCTTTTCTGTTATCTGTCCACTTTGAGTATACTCAGGAGCCAAGTACCTACAAAGAATTTGCATTCCATTAATTGTTAGTATACAAAATCTTACTGCAGTATTGCACTGACAAACACTTTTAAGCACTGACCCAAATGTTCCAATTACTCGTGTTTCAACACCCATGTCTCCGTCAGGTTGCCACCTGGCTAAGCCAAAGTCCCCAACCTTGAACAGAATAGAACAAATATTTATACATGCAATATATGTATAGATCTTTAAAATTCTTCTAGATAAATGCACAAACATCAGAGATAGCAAAATATTTTATTGGATGGAGTCCTGAATATGTTAGTTAGGGGTGTCTGCCAGTTTTGGTTAATTTGTTTTGAAAATTTATAAATGGAAAGTGGACCCAAATAATTTCAGTCAGTTTAAGCTGGTTTTTATTGTCAATTTGATCAGCTTTTGCCACTTTGGGTCTTTTTTGGTTTATTTTAGTTATGAGAAATACAAAACCGATAATGGAACTGATGAAATTAAGTTGGTTTCGGTCTCGTTGTTGTCAATTTGTGGGGTTTTGTCAGTTTCAGGTCTTTTTTGGTTTGTTTCGGCCAGTTGGGTTTTGAGAAATGCATACCCAAAAACAGAACACAATAACCCAAGTAGATTTTGTCAGCTTCAATTGGGTTTTGTTGACTTCTAGTCATGTTTGGTTCATTTCAGTCAGATTGGTTAAGGTCAATCCGGTTCTGAAATGAAAATCCAGAAACGCAACTGAATAACTAATATCTGTTTCGACCAGTTTCAATAAGTTTCATTCGATTTTTATAGGCTTATGATCATATATTCATATTTGGTTCAGTTTTCAAATCATAAACCAGAAACTCGTACAAACTACAACTGCACGAAAACAAATACACAACAGCCAATCACTATTTTCAACAGCCATCCATCACCAATATTAACAAATAAGATGTACTTTATTGCATACCAGAGGTTCGAAGTCATGGGTGATAAGAATGTTGTTAGGACGCATGTCTCGATGAACAATGCATCCCACTCTACACTCCTCATGAAGGTACCGCAATCCTCTTGCCGCCCCAACTGCAATTTTTTGGCGAGCAGACCATTTCAAGGGATCCCTATTACGTCCTGCATGACACAAGGAAAGGTAGCAATAATTAATCAAATACTGTAAACCTTGATTGTGTTTAGGACTCTTCGTGATAGTCTTGCCTATCTCAACTTTCAGTGTAATGTGCACATATTGTACTCTTTGACATTGATTTTTTTTTTGGAATTTATGCCATTCATATCAAGGAATGAATTTCTCTGAGTGCAAATAAGAAAACTAATCAACTCTAAGAAAATGTAGTACTTACTCTGCACCGCCTCCCCTAGAAAAAGGAATCATATTTATAACACTATTTTTAGTATTAGAAGCAAGATTCCACTTACTAGACGGAGGTTGTAAAGCACATATCCACCTAAAACGTAAGTAACTACGGAACCACAGCAAACTCACAAGTCATAACCTAACCATATACTCTCTGTCCCCCATATTAAGGTTCTTGTTTAAGTTCACAATGTTGCACTTGAAACATTTCAATTCAAGACCCATAATAAGAATCTCAAACATGAAAATCATCCGTGCAAGACCTGAATGATTGAAAACCATCAATCTAAGACTTAAAGTATCATAACTTTGATCACTTGAATTTTTTATTTTCATTTATGTTTATTACCAGCGCATTTTTCCTCCACAAAATTACAAATTTTAATACAATACACAAAAGATGAATTTATTATAACATAAAATCAAAATTTATTATACTTTAAAGTCTTAGATTGATAGTTTTCAATCATTCAGGCCCAATATTGTTTTCAACTTCAGCTCCCTGATTTATAGCTATTATTATCTTCGACTTGATTGAAAAATTCCTAACATTCCCTAAAAACATTGAATTTAGTATTAATAATTAAATTTACATATACAAAACTACATCAACACTTCTCCTGAATCGCAAAAACCATATTTGAATATGATGTAATTTTGATATATAAGATCAAATAAAAAAAAGTCAAGTTGACCATATGAATCAGAAGAATCTTATTTGGGCAAAGGTAGTACGTTCTACTGCGTGAGGAAGCTCAACCCTATAAAGTGGCACTTTCTTATTGAAGAAGAGAAATATCATACCATAAAGATGGGAGTCTAATGATCCATTGCAGATATACTCATAGACCAACAATCTTCTGCTATCTTCTATACAGAACCCAATCAGCATAACAACATTACGGTGTTGAGCACAGCTAAGAACTTCAACTTCTGAGCAAAACTCCTGATCCCCTTGAGAGCTTGCTAATTTATGCTGCTTCACAGCAACTACCTGTCCGTCTGAGAGAACTCCTTTATGAACAGATCCAAACCCACCCTCAGCCAAAAAATTAGATTGGGAAAATCCACATGTTGCAATTTCCAGCTCAGAATAGCTGAACCACTTGGGAGGTTTCCCAAAGACAGGCGCTTTATGTTGGCAGATAGAACATAACGGAGGAGAGCCAAGTGGCACACTTTTGGATAATGAAACTGCTTCTCTTACACTTCCACTGAAGTCCATGTCATGGTTAACTTCTTCATTGAGTTTGGAGAACTTTTCAGACATTGCCTTTGTTGTGGGAGTCTGAGCAAGTCTAGTAGAGTGTGGGCTGACAATGTCTGACATCCATGGCGGAAACCTTAAACTTGAGCAAGTGGACAAATTTTCATTGTCACTGTCTGAGCTTGACTCACTGCCATTTTGGGCATCATTTTTGGCTAACGTTTCTTCTTTCTTCATATCTCTGCTTACTTCAGCATTGAAAAATGGAGATGTTCCAGGTTCAGAACTGGAAACAGAGGATGTACCAACCTCAGTTGCAGTGAAGATCTCTGGACTACTAGTTGGAGTAACAAGTTGACCACAGGTTGAATCTAATGAATCATTCTTGTGCACTTCATGTTTTTCACACGCTTCAGATTTCTTCTCTGTAGTAGATATCAAAATGGGAGCATCAGATGCCTTTTTGGGTGATCCGACTAAATTAAGGCGAAGAACTTTCGGATGGGATCGCTTCATAACTACAATATTGCAATGCAGTTCTTCCAAACATCGCTTTTCCTCATGCTTCAAGTGCCTGAAAGTTAATTAAAGAAGACTTGTTAAATAAAATGGGAAAAAGTGGTAACACTTTTTCTTTGACTATGTTTGGAATGCAAAAGATGGTAGGGAAAGGAAACAATATGCTAATGGGAATAGTTTTTTACTTATTTGGTTTTGTCATGGAAAACACAAAAGAAAATTGAAATTTACTTAAAAAATAAATCTTTTCTGTGCATTTATTGTGTTTATGTAATATATATAGAGGGTCATATTCAAGTCGTGCACGCCTGATGGGTTTTCTATCATGTGCACTCTATTGGCCAATCAACAATTCAATGATCCTGACTTTTTCACTCGTTAGCTTTAACTATTAATTTTAACCTTTGGATCTTCAATTTCTGCAAAGATAAACGCTAGAATTTTTATAAAAATGAGCTTAAAAAAAATCTAAAATTGATTTTTTGAGTTTCAATATTACTTGAATTTCCCAAGTTTTGTTACCTTCTACATATCCATTGTATTTTCTTTCCCTGGCCTTTTAGGGTTCCAAAGAGGCCCTTAATAATTAATAACTTGAAGTGAGAGTCAGTGAAATTATTACTTTTCCAGAACAACCCAATTAGCACGGATCCTCCTTGCCTCATTGGCCACAACCCCACATTGTGTGCCAGAAACAATTTTGATTTTCACATTTACCTGCCAGGAAAAACAATGGGGGTAAAAACCAAGTCAATAGTAAAATGTGGTACGCATGCAGGTCTTTAATGAAAGAGCCAAGGCATTGATGTGAAAATTAAAGAAACCTTGTTTGGGTCATAAACATTATGGAGTTGAAGTATCATCTGGGAGCAAGAATCAGTTATGTCAGATTTTTCTTCAGAATTAGCTCCAGAGTGTGACTTTCTATGGCCACTGGCGCAGTCTCCAGCAAACCTTGGGAACCCCCATTTTCTACCTGCAGATTTTTTTACGCAAGGAAAAATGTTAAACTGTTATAAATGAAAATTAGTTATTGAAAGCAATTTGAGAGAAACAACAAGAACAGAATGGGGCCAATAAGAGTTGACTATTTTTGTCTTTACATTCAAAGGGAAAGGACCAGCCTAACATAATAAATTTTAAGGTAGGTTCATATAATCAACTAACAAACAATTGAGTATAATTAAGAAAAAAAAAGTTTTCTTTGACAGAGTTACTTTAAAGTATAGTGTCCATAAGAAAAAGGAACTATGGAGCAGACACTTGATCTTTTCTTAAGCAGAACCTTGGTGGCAACATTTTTTGTAAAAATCATTTTAGCCTTTTTCAAGTGTAGTTTCTTTTCATTTTATCAATTAAACATACTTATTTCATTACTTTAACTGCTTCATTAAAATTGGCCACAATTTAAGCAACTTAAGCTAACTCACCTGTACCAAACAGTTTCTTAGTTTTTACTATGGCAGATTAAAAAAGATTAAATGATAAGGTTTGTGTGCCAAGAAAAATCACATAAGTAAAAAATAAAATAGATAATTACCAGAAGTGTTAGAAGGGACAACCACAAGAAGTGTAATGCAATCACCAGGTTGAACCACATGTGTTAAAGCCCAAAGAAGAGCAGATTTGGGTATTTCTTTTGATGCCTTCACAGCAACCATGACCTTCTCTGCAACAGCATCCGAACCTTTACCAAGTTTTCCCTTCACTTCCAGGTGATTACTCATTGTTGCTTAAAGAATGTCACCAATTTCCAACACTTCAACCCAATCAGCTGGCGAAACAAACATAAATACAGAACCAATTAAGCTACTTGTGTGTATTTTTATAAGAAAACAGTAAAAGAAAGACTGAAAAGGAAGCTAAAAAGTAATCTTCCTTTTGAAGACCAGCACAATCAGGTTAAGAAATTCAAATTTGCTTCTTTTCGTTTCCTTCATTAATTTATAGAAATATATTATGATCATTGGAAGGTAGCTTACGAATAAACAGTAACTTATTGTGCAATATCATTAAATTATACGTAGTATACGAGAAAAAAAAAGATGCAAAATGATCTTTTCCCCTTTTTGCCTTTCTACAATCAAACCAGTCAGTCAAAAGATAGTTGAGAAGAAGCCCCAGAAGATGAGCTGTGTCCCAGATCAAGGAATTGGACACTATTCCCCTTTTGGGCTGTCATTATCCAAAAAGGGAATCTCGTCATCATCACCTTCCAAAAAATAAAAAGCTCCTATAAAGCAGTACCTAATCCCCCAGAAATGCTAAAGAAGCCAACAAATCTTCGAAATGACTCAAAAGTTGAACCCAGCCCACATCAGATATCAAAATATTTTCTGTTACCCACACCTGAAAGCTTGCAAGATTCCAAAATCACACGAGCAGAATAGCATTACCATATTGGAAATCCAGAAAAGAAAAGAAAAAATTTAAAAATTAAATAAACAAACTAATCTGGAATCACTCAAATGGAAATGATCTGAAAAATGAAGAGGCATAAAGCGTTGTAGCATATGTTTTGTCTGCTAAAGAGCTGAAGAAAAGCATCTAGTCTAGAAAAGAACAAAAAGGAAACGAGAAATCAGGCTAGGAACAATTAAAAGATTTAGAACTGCAGGAAATTGAAGCTGAAAAGGTGCAACAAAAAGATGGGTCTTAATGCATAACTGGGTTGAAGAAAATGGCTGAATCCGTGGGAATCACGCAGTATAATCTACTCCGGATTTCGCATCACTACAGCTAGAAAACATAAAGATTCCTAAACGAGCAAAGGGAGAAAAGTGTGGGATGGCGAGAAGAAAGAAGAGAGGGAAGGGAAGCCATGAAAGTTCAAGAAAACCTTGGAAAAACAATGGGCCTGAAATGGGAGTGTGGGCAGTTGGGGATGAATGAATTATTTCCAGTATTGTGAAAAAAGAGACTGTGGAATGAAAGTGAGAGGGCAACAGATGGGTGGGTGGGGGTGGGGGGTATGGGTCGATACACAAAAACACCTCACCAATCTGTGCAGGTGGGTTAATGTGGGGAGAGGGGTGGACTGCGACTGGACGGCTGCTCCTCGTTTCCAATTACTGCTCCTGCAGAACGCTCTGAATCTTCTTTTCAGGGGAGAGAGACTTGTTTTTTTTCCAGATTTTTCGTTTTTTCTTACTGTGCATGCCTTTGATTCACAAAAGTAGTCTTCCTCGATGCATATTTTAGGCTATTCTTTGTACAAGTATTGCGATGATGTTTTTGTACTCTACCTTCGACAGTAGAAAATTATTTGCAAAATGTATAAATACACTCTTTTAGTTTTCAAAAAAAATAAATACCCTCTTTTAATGTAGGTGTGGGAACAAATATACTCATATTCTATTTTTTGGAATAAATATATCATTGAAATTTACGTGAAAGTGCATGTATACTCTTGAACTTTGAAAAGACGCAAAAATATCTTTCATGTTCCTATAAAAGAACAAATTTACCCTTATTGACTTTAAATAAATAAAATAAATTTCAAAAAACACAAAAATAAATTATAAATTTGAAATTGAAAAAAACAAATCTACTATATATTTAAGATTCTCACTTTTGTTGTTTTTATCACAGTTTAATATTGTTAGTATAAAATATTATTTCAAAACATTACTATATATTTAAGATTCTTTCGGGAAAGTGTTAATTTTTATATTCTTTGCACTATAAAGTTACATATTTTTTATGATGATAAATAGTTCAAGAGCACAAAATAGTGAATTTAATTTTATTAAGGTTAAATAAAATAAAAGAATGTTATATCAAAAAATGTAACAATGTGTTTAAAATATCGCAACAACACTAAAAGTAATATTTATGAATTTGAAGTGTTTTATTTGCAATGAAAAATAATAATTTTGCAATTTAAAATTATAGAGTTGCTATTTTAACACAAAAATAAATCTTTATTTTGAAATCTTATTTTTTTTTCCAATTTCCAATTTATTGTTTACTTTTAGTATTTCAATTTATTTTATTTATTTAAATCAATAAGAGTAAATTTGCTCCTTTATAGGAACATGATGGGTATTTTTGCATCTTTTAAAAGATAAGGGGTGTATATGCATCTCCACATAAATTTCAGGGGTATATTTGTTCCAAAAAATAAAATAGAGATATATTTATTCTCACATCTATACTTCAGGGGTATATTTGTACTTTTCCAAAATTATATGAACTCTTTTGTGAGTTCTGTTAACATTTTTCTATTAATTGTCTTCACAATTTACTATAATTAAAAAATTAGAAATTATTTTTTAATACTTTTTAGATTCAACGATTCCGTCAATTTGACTGTGATCAAACTGACAATAATTATATGAAATAAAAAGTGAAAATGTAATTGTCGATATTAGATACGTAGTATGTCTTTGTTCTACTTACCGCATTCCATTTTCACCAATTCTTAGTGCACACAAATTTATACACATTTCGCACACATTTGTACATAATGTATGAGCTATGTGCACCCAATGTCTATGTGCAAATGTGTGCAAAACATGTACAAATTTTGTGTACAAATAGAAATTGTCAACCATTTTTCTCAAACAAATTGCTAAAATGGAAGTACAATATTAAATATGTTTTGATGATTTAATGATTTAATACTATAATTCATTTAGTCAAATTGATTTAATGATTTGATGTACTTTATAAAGTTTTTTCAACAATATTACTGAAATAAAATTTATGTATACTCTATCCCTATTTAAAGTTCAGTACATTACATTTAATTTGGAGACATTATTTAAAAATAGTAGGAACAATGAATATTGTATAAAAAGTAGGGAAGATAGTGAAAACGTGCATAAGAGAAGGTAAAAAGTAGAATAGTTATGATAATTGAGTGTTTTTAAAGATAAAATTACCATACAAAAAGTGTATCAAACTTTTAAATACATCCAAAAAAGTAAAGTGTAGCAAACTTTAAAATACAGAAAGAATATAAAAATATGACTAAAAGTTACTACTACATGCGGAGTATAATATAGTGTTATGGTTACTTATGTCTAAAAATTGAACATAAGTTATCATGACTAAAGTTATTGTGATGGTCACTATACTTAAGAGGTTACATTTATATATTTTTATAAATGATCTTTATTATAGTTATGTTTTAAAAACCAAACCGGAAAGAGACTCGGGCAAATGGCTGTGACATAGTTCAACCTGTACCCAGCAGGTCAACTCGGTCAACAACAAAAAAACAGTCAATGTTGACAAAAAACAAATTGTTAAATATAAACCGGTCAATATTGACTCAAATTGTAAAGCGAAATTATTTTCAATCATAATTTAATAGTAATAATGCATGATAAGTTGATAACATATAAAATAACACTATTATTCTAAAGTATACAAATTTTAACAAAATTTTAAATAGACAACACATATGAATATAATACATATTAAAAGTATATGAATATTATATTAATATTTTTACTTGTAATAATACAATTCGCATTTTTTTTTATTAGGAACAAACAATTCAAATAACTCAAACTTATATATGCAATATATATGCCCCATACTTTACATAAAGAATTGTATTAACACCATGATCATATACTTTTTCTTTCACAAGTGAAAATTTATGATGCTAAGTACATATTTAATTTTTAAGCATGTGGGGATACAATTAACGTTTTAAACTTTCATTTGAAATAAAAAATGTTACCCCATGTCTATATAATTGCAACGCTTTAATTTGCTATTTGTCGTCGCACAATTTCATTACTAACATATTTAATTGACTTTTACATTATTCACACACTCTTCTTTGATTTTATTTTATACATTAATGTATTAAACAATTTTCTTATATAAAACAAATTACTGTATAAAACTTGTTCCGGATTAAAATTTTAATGTACGAGTTTTTAAAATCCGTAATTTACTAATATTCAATGTTTATAGTCAAAGTTGTATGCTAGCAAATATCAAATTAAAAGTATTGCAATTATATACTACCTATATAGTACCAAGACAATATTAGTTATTTCACACAAAGAAAACTAAGAATGTTAATTGCACTCTCATAAATGCTAAATATATTTAAATTATTTATTTAACACCATAAATTTACATCTGTGAAAGAAAAATCATATGATTATGGTGTTTAAATAACTTTTTATATAAATTTTGGGATTTTATATTACACATGCATGCAAGTTTAGAGTATTTACCCCCATAACACTTCAAAGTTTGGGATATTTGATTTATTTTCCCCTTTTTATCATTATTATTAATTGTGGAGCAAGAACTAGCAATATCAATAACACAAAGAATATATGTTTTTAGCTGAACTTTATAGTCTCTTATAGTATCTCTTCAATGTTAAATGAAGCATCATTGACTTGGATGAGTTTCGAACATGTGACTTCTTCCTTGAGAGTGTCACAACGATGCCATCGAACCAAAAGATGTTTGACACACAGAGAATATATTAAGAAACGGTATAAAAACATTTAGAGGTAAGTGGGAATATTTGTTAAGTGAATCACATAATTCGTTGGTCCAGTTGCTTAATATAGTGTTCACAGGTTAAGTGTTCACATTTGTTAAGTGAATCCCCTTTGAGAACCCAGAATCGATACCGAGAGTCATCACAGATTCTTTCATACATGGGCTTTCTCTTTTATGCGGTTTAGTTGGGCCATCTCGACTCTGGACCGAGTACGCCGGAGTCACTAGGTATTTCCGGTTAATGACACAATAATGGGTTGGTATGATACAAACTGGATTGTGCTTCGGGTCTCCTAGTTCTAGGTCGAAACACCCAAAGTAGTATTTTAGTCTGACTAAGTGTGTAATTATTTTATGACTAGTTTTCAAGCCCGTGCGATGCACGGGCAGAACGTAATTTAGTTAATTTTAAATGTCTTTTTTTAAAAAAATTGATAGTGGAATAAATTTATATTAATAATTAAAGTTTTTCATTGACACTATAATATATAAGAATAATACTAAATTGATTATTTTACTTGATTCTGACCGTTTACAAATATTATTTTATTGCAACACACATCTTAACATATAGGACTTAATAGAAAAAAGTAAACAACCCTTCAATTTAATATATAGCTCGTTTGGTAATAATAAAATTGATTGAATTGACTGATTATGTTGAAATTGATTAAGTTCTCTCTGAATGAGATCGATGCATAATTATTTTATAGTTTTAATAGTGTGAAATTCAAATAATTTGTCAGATTGAGAAATTTGCACAACTGAATTTACGATTTTAATTTCTATACCTTGTTTATTAACTTTATCAGATTTCAAATAAAAACGAATGTCATAAAACTTTAGTGATTTTAGAGAATTTTCTCAAAAAGCTCAATGTGACATATTAAAATAGATAGACGTACTACATTACTTTATACGTAGTATATCTTAGTGAAAGCACCTTATGTAATTATGCATCTCGTATCACAAATTATGTGTACCATTAATATAATGTCATGACAATATACTCCAGTTTTCACTCTGAAAAAAAAGTACTCCAGCTTTCTTTAACTTGTACTCCGTACTATCATAATAATCTCTTTACATGTAAGTCAGATTTTAATTTCTATACCTTGTTTATTAACTTTACGTGTTTATACTTTATAGGTTTTTTTTCCTTTCCGGTACGTGTATCCTTAAAAATTATAGCAAATTTTCTGAACTTTTTTCTTCTTCAAGTAAGTAACATTCATCTCAGAGAATTACTTGGGAATATAGTACTTCCAAAGGGTCTTTAACTAATTGCACTCATCAATATCAAGATCTATGTACACCATGCTTGAGGGGATGTTGATAAACATAAATTTCCTGCACAATTAGAACAAATTTACTGAATATTGAAGAGGCAATGCACATGATATTATCACAAAGAAGCCAATATATGCACAATGGAATTTGAACTGTTAACTTTATTATTGTGATTACTTACCATTATAGTCTTTAACTATAGTAGAGGTAACGACTATCACAAAATGTTTTGTAGGCTCATCCAGTTTATTTCGTTGTTTGGTAAGGTGATCAATGCATTGACCCCATAGTCTTACTTTGATGTGTTTCGCTCTGCATGGTAACAAAAGTGAGTACATGTGATTGGACGTTACTTGAATTTTGTAGGATAAAAAACTATATAATTAGTAAATAGATATGAAACATACCACTGGTCTTCTATTTCAATAGTTTCACATCCATTAGGATCATAATCGTACACAACCATGCAAACCACATCT